CTACAAAAAAAACAAGACAAATTCCATTATACAAAAAAGCTAACTAGGAATCTAGGAAGAATACGTTAGAAGTGTTCTATCTTAAGCTTCAATTTTCTTATAAGGAGCAAATTTCTGATACTAATACCATCTGGTGTGATTTCAAGCAATTTTTTAGTGAATATGCACATACCACACAAAATATCAAAACCAAAAGAAAGCCAACCCTGGATATCACATGAAATTAAACACTTGATTAATAAACGAAACAGACTATTTAAAAAATCAAGAAAGTTTTGTGATAAAGATATAACAAAGAAATATAAAGAACTGAAACATTCTATCCAAAAAAAGATTCGGCAGGAGTATTGGAGATATATAGAAAACATAGTTACTACAGATGAGACTTCGGTCAATGGAACTTTCACATGTATGAAAAATGTTTGGACCTACATAAAACACAAGAAAACAGACTTCTCATATATCCCCCATCTAAAAGAGGATGGCAAAGCTCATTTCAGATTCCTATTCAAAAGCAAACCTACTCAATAGGCAATTCGAATCAGTTTTCTCTACATCCAAAAACATATCTCCTGACGTTTTTGCTAAAGTTAATTATATGAATCCAGATCAGATATATCCAACCATGAACACCCCCTCATTACCTCAAATGGTATCCAATAACTGCTAAATAATCTTGATAGTTCCAAAGCACCAGGCCCAGACGACATGAGTCCAAGAGTTTTGAAGGAATTGGCGAGTGAAATTGACCCTATTTTGAGTATAATATTCAACTCGTCCCTACAATCTGGCAATGTTCCGCAAGATTGGAAAACCGCCCATATTGCTCCAATATTTAAGAAAAAAAGGGCCAAAAACATGATCCTGTAAATTACAGACCTATCTCACTCACTAGCATTTGTTGTTAATTAATGGAACATGTCATAGTGTCACACATCATGTCACATTCAGATCGTCACAATTTTTTGTATCTTCGCCGACATGGTTTTCGAAAATAAAATTCAGATCCTGTGAAACACAACTTTTAGAATTTGTTGACGATAATTACCAAAACTCTTGACAACTCAAAACAATCCGTTATATTGGTTATGGATTCCTCCAGGGCATTTGATAAGGTCAGCCACTCTCTTCTTACCAACAAACTCAGTCATTATAGTATAGATGATAAAACAACTTCCTGGATCTCAAACTTCTTAAATAATAGAACCCAATCAGTTCTTGTTGAAGGCGTCAAATCTGAGTATGTAACAGTTTTATCCGACGTCCCCCAGGGATCTGTTCTGGGGCCTAGTCTGTTCCTATTTTATATCAATGATATGCCAATTGGCTTGAACTCCACGGTCGGACTATTTGCGGATGATACCATCATATATCTGACAATTACGTCAGAGAAAGATGCCAGGATCCTACAGTCTGACCTGGACAAACTAGCCATTTGTGAGAAAAAAATGGCTAATGGCTTTCCACCCTGATAAGTGTTATGTTCTTACAATTTCTAAGAAAAAAATCCCCTGTCATTTTTTATTATTCTCTTCATGGCCAAATATTAAAACATGTTGATTCTGTGAAATACCTAGGAGTAACCCTCAGATCAGATTTGAAATGGGACTCGCATATAACTTAGATCAGATTTGCAACAAGGCAAATTCTACTCTAGGAGACAACATTATCTCCGTCATTTTGCAGAAAAGAGCACTACTCCTACAAAAAAATCATTCAGCAATATCGGTATACGAATGACGGCGAAATCTGATGAACAAGTGATCACTAGAAAGAGCGGTTCTCTTTGGTTCACGACAATATAACCTCGAACAGGGCCGATAACTAGTTTCCGTATAGAATAGGGCCGGTCAGTGTTGCTTTAGAAAATAGGGCCGATCACAGTTGCCATAGAGAATAGACCTATCACAGTTGCCATAGAGAATTGGGCCGGTCATCTTTGTCATAGAAAACAGGTCCGATCATAGTACTTTGCCATAGAGAATAGGGCCGATCACTGGTTGCCATAGAGAATAGAGCCGATCACTGGTTGCCATAGAGAATATGACCGATTATCGTTACCATAGAGAACAGACCCGATCACTCGTTGTCATAGAGAATAGGACCGATCATGGATGCCATAGAAAATATGACCGATTATCGTTACCATAGAGAACAGACCCGATAATCGTTGCCATAGAGAATAGGGCCGATCTTAGTACTTTGCCATAAAGAATAGAGCCGATTATAGTTGCCATCGAGAACAGGGTCAATCACAGATGGAGAATAGGGCCAATCGTCGTTGTCAAAGAGAATAGCACCGGTTAATAGTTGCCATAGATAATAGTACCGATTACTAGTTGCTATAGAGAATAGCACCGATTAAATCATCGCTGCTATAGAAAAAGCACCGATTACTAGTTACCATAGAGAATAGGGCCAATCATCATTGCTAGCAATCATCGTTGCTATCAACCATCATTGCCACAGAGAATAGGGCCAATCATCGTTGCCATAGAGGATAGGGCCAATCATCGTTGCCGTAGACAATAGGACCAATCATCATTGCCATAGAGAATAGGGCCAATCATCATTGCCATAGAGAATAGGGCCAATCATCATTGCCATAGAGAATAGGGCAATTCATCGTTGCCGTAGAGGATAGGGCCAATCATCATTGCCATAGAGAATAGGGCCAATCATAATTGCCATAGAGAATAGAGCCAAACATCGTTGCCATAGAGGATAGGGCCAATCATCGTTGCCATAGAGGATAGGGCCAATCATCATTGCCATAGAGAATAGGACCAATCATCGTTGCCATAGAGAATAGGGTCAATCATCATTGCCATAGAGAATAGGGCCATTCATCGTTGCCACAGATAATAGGGCCATTCATCGTTGCCTTAGAAAATAGAGGCAATCATCGTTGCCATAGAGAATAGGGCCATTCATCGTTGCCGTAGAGAATAGAGCAATTCAATGTTGCCATAGAGGATAGGGCCAATCGTCGTTGCGATAGAAAATTGGGCGAATCATCTTTGCCATAGAGAATTGGGCCAATCATCTTTGCCATAGAGAATAGAGCCAATCATCGTTGTCATAGAGGATAGGGCAAATCATTGTTGCCATAGAGAAGAGAGCCAATCATCGTTGCCATAGAGAATAGAGCCAATCATCGTTGCCATAGAGAATAGGGCCAATCATCGTTGCCGTAGAGAATAGGACCAATCATCATTGCCATAGAGAATAGGGCCAATCATCGTTGCCGTAGAGAATAGGGCCAATCATCATTGCCATAGAGAAGAGAGCCAATCATCGTTGCCATAGAGAATAGGGCAATTCATCGTTGCCGTAGAGGATAGGGCCAATCATCGTTGCCATAGAGAATAGGACCAATCATCATTGCCATAGATAATAGAGCCAATCATCGTTTCCATAGAGGATAGGGCCAATCATCGTTGCCATAGAGAATAGAGCCAATCAGCGTTGCCATAGAGAATAGGGCCAATCATCGTTGCCATAGAGGATAGGGCCAATCATCATTGCCATAGAGAATAGGACCAATCATCATTGCCATAGATAATAGAGCCAATCATCGTTGCCATAGAGGATAGGGCCAATCATCGTTGCCATAGAGGATAGGGCCAATCATCATTGCCATAGAGAATAGGACCAATCATCGTTGCCGTAGAGAATAGGACCAATCATCGTTGCCATAGAGAATAGGGTCAATCATCATTGTCATAGAGAATAGGGCCGTTCATCGTTGCCACAGAGAATAGGGCCATTCATCGTTGCCATATAGGATAGGGCAAATCGTCGTTGCCGTAGAGAATAGGGCCATTCACCGTTGCCATATAGGATAGGGCCAATCGTCGATGCCATAGAGAATAGGGCCAATCATCTTTGCCATAGAGAATAGAGCCAATCATCGTTGTCATAGAGAATAGGGCCAATCATCTTTGCCATAGAGAATAGGACCAATCATCAATACCATGGAGAATATCACCGACCAATGTCGATCACTGGTTGTCATTTTGTTCACAAGATTCGCGCATTCATATGATGAAATGTTGTAAAAAGGCTGAATTTAATAAAAATATGATAGAACAAGAAGTCAGGAAAATATATTGAGGAGAAAAAAAAAGGAAATAAATGTAGCATCCAAATTTACGTGAGCATATTTGTTCTGTCAAAATTGATAAAATAACGAGAGGAAAGTAAATACTATCCTTCTGATGGTATATGATTTTATATGGTTTGTTGTAGAAGAAAATGAGAATTTGAAATAAAACATTTCACGGTTTTAAATCGATCATGAGTCCCTTTTGAAAATACTGCCCGCCAGGGGTACAGTCTAATTGAGCTTATCTGGACACGTACTAAACGCTTCTGCCAGTATAAAACATACTTTCTATTAATATGATCTCACCTCATTGAATCTATATTATATCATTTGTATTACAAATACTGCTTTCGTGAACATACTTTTTTGCCATGTATCATTTTCATTTGCAAACAAATCATTATGAAAACGTATTATTACACAAATGCCACCTCAAAGAACACCTGATTGTGACAATTGCACTCATACCTATGAGTTCTATCGCAGTAATCGGAAAAGAAGAAGAAGAAGAAGAAGAAGAAGAAGAAGAAGAAGAAGAAGAAGAAGAAGAAGAAGAAGAAGAAGAGGTAGAAGAAGAAGAATATGGGAATGAAGTGGGAACTTATTTTCTTGATTTGTGAAACAAGTGTATTTAAAACTGTCAAAATGTGAAAATAAAAAAATAAAAAATGATATCATTTGTCGCTGTACCTTATAAAAATATTTGATTTTGTTATTCTAACGAATAAATAAATAGTCTACTTTCCTAGTAAACAAATTCAATAGCTATTGTTTACTTTTTGAAGCACTAAAATAATTCCGTAAATATATAAATCTTCATTAAAATTTCTCGAGTCCGGAATTCCGTATCCTTTTCCAATATTAGAACACATACGTAAACGTTCCATCGACTCAGAAAATTCACACTGTCAAATAATGTTAATTTTTATAAATTTCGATTACTGAGGTGAAGGGAGGATATTGTTATTCGAGTTTTGCCGTGAACTCCCTCTCCATGTAGTCTCTGGTCTTCAAAGTGTTTGTTTGTTGGAGGTGTTCCTCGTTTACAGCGTTGGTTTGGTTTGAGACCGCTGCTACCACAACAAAATGTCGATCGCGGATGGCAGCCTACCTGCCATGGACGAAACTGAGAAGAAAGTGGTGAATGAATTTTGTCATCTGCTGGAGAAATCAAAGCAATTATTCAACGGACTTAGGTAGGGGTTCATATTCAGTCAAACCTACATTAATTGCATGTGTGTTTATTGTATTTGAATGCTGCATATTGTAGACATGTGCTCACACTTGTCATCCATGCCGACTCGCACATAACATTATCATCTGTCAGGATTCCGGATAAATTTGACATGTGAGAAATTCTGTTTGATTGCTTCTGAGGATAAATAGTTACATGTTTTAGCTAGAGAAATAGTTCTTTGGATTTGAATTACCGTTTACCTGGATGAAATTATATACAAAAATAATTATTCTATTTTGGTATCTGTGGTAGTAACGTTATAGCCTTTTGCAGTACAGCTGTCTGCTATATGTAACCTAAATACAGTATTAACTTCAAAATAAACCACATGCATACAGTTTACTTATAACTACCATGGTCTAATGGAATGTGTATGTTAAACACTTAAACAGGTGGAGTATTTTAAGTTAAAAAGCCATTAGTAAATCAAGAGGAACTCGTTGTGTATTGGGTAAGCAGTGGTATACCATGGCTTTCTATACAAAGGACTGTTGTGTACATAACAAGAGTGTGTTTGTTTTTAAATCAGTGGTAATATTTATCTTGACTTGTATTACCTTTTCAATATTATGTCTTTCTGCTTTAAGTTCTGTTTAATATTAAGGAGTAGTATTTGTATACGTTACTCCATTAAAAGGCAATGTGTGTAAGTAAAAGATTAAGGATGTTTATTTTACTTAGTGAGTATGTATACAAACATATACACGCACTGGTACTTACGTAAACATGTAGTTAGCGTTGTTGACTTACATGTGAAGGAGTATATTTAAACGTAACTTATAACGTAAAAATCAGTTAAATATAATTAATTAAAAAAAAAATCTGAAAAATATTAAGTCTGAACAGATCAAGACATACTATACATAAATATAAATCCATATATATTATATACTTGTCTGGTATAAATAATAACAAAGGTTTTCCTTTATTATTATTAACTGACCAAATAACAATTTTAGCGTGTCAGTTTGAGCAATTTACATACATTACAAATGTTAAGAAAAATTAATCTCAGGAGGCCAAAACCAGACTTTAGGTGGTAAATTTGCCTGCTACCTCTCACATTATGTTTCCCCGAGTAATGTTTGTAGCTACTATCAGTAATACATCTTACTCAGGAGTTATCTGGTAACAGTCAGAAAAGTTGAACAGCATATATCTAGGGTGAAAACCTCAAGTAATTTGCATGCCTATAATTTCCAGGTATCATTTTTTAGTTCAAGTGCTTAAAAAATAAAACAATCTAGATATATAGTAATATATATACTTTCTGCATCAAACATTTCTTGTATTGTAAGTTTAAATAGTTATAATTACAAACTTGTCAATTTTTTTTTAGAGGGGAATGTTTTCTTGTAGGATATATATTCAGTTCAAAGTGCATGTTAATTATTGGTACTCATGGAGATTTATTGATAATCTATTAGTTATCATTAAGAACTATGTTAGGTGTTTTTATTTTATCATACTTTAAAACCAACAGTGAATAAAACAAGAATCCAATAGAATGTCTTATAGTTCTATTTTGCATCTGAAAATGGATAACAAAGTTTAAACTTTATGTAATATGGTAATGATTTTTTTTTTAACATTTAAAACATTTTATTGTTCTGTTATGAAATGTAATTAGTCTCACACCACTGGCTGTTTCTATATGGTATCTTTCTTTCTATGCTTCATGGTTGGTACATAATAAAACCTATGATTATCGCATGGTATGCCGTTCTCACATGCACCAACTAATCTGCAATTCACAAGTGAAAGATTTAAAAGAAAATTCATTCAACAAGTTCAAATCTAACTTGTATTCATTAGGACACGAGGATTATCCCCTATGTATGTATATATATATGTAATGTATTTTTTTTTATCAACTTTTATTGTCATATATACATATATATAATGTAAAAAATTATACATTTCCTGCTGTTAAATTTCCAAAATATAAATTATGTAAGTTAATTAGGTGACAAACTGATATAACTCATGATCGTCAATGGCACTAATTAAAATAAAACGTTGTGTCGAGCCACGTAACAATGATGGCACAACAAAATCAATGGTTCTTTTTAATGTAGTAAATTCACCTGTCTGATTGCAGTTCTGTTGGTTAGTTTAATGTGAAAATAGAAAAACATTACGTGTCACACTAAAAAAATGTTCACTTTGTTTTTAAATTTTATTGGTAAATTTATAATAAAAAGTAAGATATTAAATTGATTTTCCTGTCAATTAATTGTTTTGGATTAATCACAGGTTTGAAGTTGTTCTTTATGGATGTACATGTAGATCATCAATAGTTGATTATAGAAACCTGTAGTTACACTTATTGAAATCTCTTTAAAAGTATTTTTTGTTGTAAAATATAACAACTTGAAAAAATGGGATACATTACTTGATACTGATAATCAATAAGTTAGTATTGGGTACTGTAATAGATATTAAACCATGTGCAGTTATGATATCTTGATGTTTGACCATACACTAGAGCAGTGTGCGTACCGAAATTATATAATTTCAAATATTCATCCATCCGTCAATATCTGCAGAAATTGCAATTAGATTTATCTGTTAGTTTCTAGAAATCATCAAGAGCAGGGGTACAGTTGAACTAAAAGACTTTGTACCCCATTACAGTACCATTTGATGTTGTGGTGTTCTGGGTATTAATACAGTACAGACCTGTAATGATCAATATTTGTGTTTTGCATCAGTTGCAGAGGAAAACAGAATTTTGAAATGTGGTACCTGAAATACTTTGCTGTTAACATTCGCAAGAATTTTTTTAGCATAAAATTGACCAGTTAAATGACCATAATTTTTTTTAATTGAAGTATGGTAAACAGAATATCTCATTTATCACAGTGCATATGTACGTGGATTATGTGATGCAAAAAAAGTAATTAGAAAATGTGTTTTTATCACAGAGGTGATGTTATCTCCAATATAGTAATGACCGTATTAATATTAGTAAATACCCTTATGGTTAACTTGAATGTGTAACTCATATATATATATATAAGATTATCATAAAGATATAAATATTATAATTGTGACTATATATATATAAAAGCCAGAGAAAATAAACCCCATGTAACAGCCCAGAAATTTTGTCAGGTCTTGCTATTATGTCCCATTTTTGGCAAATTTACCAAAACAGATCCATTATTCTTGTTGTGTGTTTAAATTATAGAACTTTGGAATATCTGTGTCTTTTAGTTTTATACTGTTGACAGAGAATATATCTATGTTTCCTTTATTTCAACTTTCAAAGCATTTTACTATTTACTGTGGCTTGATATATATATGTACTATTAGTTCATACATCTCTCATAATGATTATGTACAGCTAGACCTACCTCAACCTTGGCCCTGTTCTCGATGGCAGCTAGTTAACGCAGACTATTTTTTACGATGCTTAATTTAATAAATATTGAAATAATTCATGAGGTTATTATCAATCACGTGTTTCCGTAATGTTAGACGCGAGATCAACATGAAAGTGATCCGAAAAAAACCCATGCTATACGTATACGCATAGGCGATTTGAAAAAACTTACAGAACTTACATAGAACGGAGCTTAAATTGAACAACTACATTTTCGTAATAGTATGGGGAAACGCACCGAGATGTCGAAACGTAATGTCGTAAGTTGATCGTAAGTTGATCGGCGATTCTCTGGCATAGGAATTTGGCTAAACTTTTTTTGTTAACGGTTACCTATTTATTAATACTTTTCACATAAACTCACATAACAACACATTATGTATCTTTTATTAATGTTTGACATAAATAAATTTGTTGATCGTCATTTGTCTTAGAGTTCCTTGTACCAAGGGACATAATCCAAGATGGCGATCTCTCAGAATCGGCGATCTTTTTCTGAAAAAAACTTGAATTTTTCTATACCTGTGTATTTTACGCCCCCCCCACTTTGGGTATTAAATTTCTGAAAAAAAAGTGCGCAAATTACATGGGTTTTTACGGTACTTGTATGTATCTAACACAGCATGGAGTATGATATATGTATACATTAAATATCAAATCATGAATGATCAGTTACACACTTTATAGTGATGTTATAATGGGTAAATTAAATGATATACATATAGATGTATACTTTTAATCTGTTTTATATAATTTATCTAATGGCAAAACCAATGATATCTTCTTGTGAGAAATGTAAATTAATGCTTTCATGTCAAAGTGTGTTAATAGACACACCACGTAAATAATGATCTCACGCTGTTTTATATATCAAACACGATAAAATCCTCCCATTAGGTAAAGAATATATCACCATGTGACACAATGTCCATCAATTATTCAAGGTCAGAAATTAATACATAAAGCAATGAAAATAATGTATAAACACTGTCCTCACAAACCAATGGTGTGAAGTCTAATTCATGTACCCTTATCATATATTGGTGTCCTCATCACAGATTAGGAATGCTATACATGTAACTGGCAATAAGGAATTGTATTGTAATGATATAATCATCATTGAACAACATATACTGTTTGGATCCAATATATATAGGACACATTGATTTCTGTTAACTTATGGTAATAATTTATGGTTTTTTTACCTGTACATGTTTTTGTTGTAAAAAGGTATAGAACTTTTTTGAATAGGAGTTGTACGTGTAATAATGACAGCTACAGCGACAGACCATTGATTTGTACATTCATAGGCTTTGTTTCACATGGAAGCTGTCCTTGATTTCTGTATGTTATATATACCAGATTTAAAATTGAACAGGCCACCAGCAAGAGCTTCATTTAATTAGCTATATACAGTAGGTTATGTGTAATTACCTTGTAATAATTAAAACCTCCATCAAAGAATACCCTATGTTTGTACATTTAGATTAAAACCCTGATCATAGAACACCTTTATAACTGTCATCTTGACCAAGGATGTGTAACATTTAGATTAAATCCCTGATCATAGAACACCGTTATAACCGTCATCTTGACCAAGGATGTGTAGCATTTAGATTAAAACCCTGATCATAGAACACCGTTATAACCGTCATCTTGACAAAGGCTATGTAACATTTAGACTAAAACCCTGATCATAGAACACCTTTATAACCGTCATCTTGACCAAGGATGTGTAACATTTAGATAAAAACCCTGATCATAGAACACCATTATAACCGTCATCTTGACCAAGGATGTGTAACATTTAGATTAAAACCCTGATCATAGAACACCTTTATAACTGTCATCTTGACCAAGGCTATGTAACATTCAGATTAAAACCCAATCAAAGAAAACCTGTCAGAAAAAGTACTAATGAGATATTTCATGTTTTACAGGGACCTCCCCCAGTATGGCCACAAACAATGGCAGTCGTACTTCGGCCGAACGTTTGATGTGTACACCAAACTCTGGAAGTTCCAGCAGCAGCATCGGTACGTAAGACACTTTGTTGTTGTAATAGCATGTTCATTGTTTAACTCATTCACCCCTGAAATTTCATAATGAACTATTCCAACCTTTGAATTGGAAGAGTTCAAATGTGTCTTCAGGGGTGAATGAGTTAACATGTACGACTCTAAATAAATCTTCTTGTATCATGTATGGCTTTATGTCATTCTATGATGAATCTATGACTATTTACCCCATCTTTCGTTGTATTGGGGGATGCTTTGAGTATGTCTTTCTTCTGTTGTGTTAATAAATGTAACAAGTAATTTTTTGAGATGAAAGGGGGGAAAAAAAGTTCAGTGCTGTTTCACATATATAACAAGCTTCTGTTCAAGGTTAAAATTTCTAGTTAAAGAGCTTAATATTGACATGACAACCTTTAGTTATGCATGATCTTCTAATCTAATTTGATTATCCAAGTTTAAGCATATGCTACTGTAGTTTTGAATATTATGCAGTAATTCAAATTCTGTGATGGAAGTCGCAAAACATAATCTTATTTTATTTTGAACTTTTATTTTTTCAGACAAATTCTGGATACTAAGTACGGCCTTAAACGTTGGCAAATTGGGGAGGTAGCTTCAAAAATAGGACAGCTTTATTACCATTACTAGTGAGTACACTCTTACTTCTTACATACTCACTTACTTGGGATACTAGACATCTTGCATGCTGCACATACTATACATCCTACATATTGACCTATGACATACTCTGGATAATAGACCTTGGACGTACCGACTTACTCTCAATAGTGGACATCTTACAGATTTACCTACTGATTCTAGATCTCTTACACACCGATATAATCTGAATACTAGACCTCTTATATTGGCTATATATACTAGACAATTTCATGAGCATCTTACTGAGGAATCTAGACCTGTGACATACTGATATACCTTACTCTCAATACTAGATCTCTTACATATTGATATACTCTCAATACTAGACATATGACATACTGATATACTCTCAATTCTAGATCTCTTACACACTGATATAATCTGAATACTAGACCTCTTACATACTGATATACTCTCAATACTAGACCTCTTACATACTGATATACCATACTCTGGATACTAGACCTGTAACATAATGATATACCTTACTCTCGATACTAGACATATGACATACTGATATACTAGACCTCTTACATACTGATATACTCTCAATACTAGACCTGTAACATACTGATATACTGTACTCTTAATACTAGACCTGTTACATACTGATATACCGTACTCTGGATACTAGACCTCTTACATACTGATATACTCTCAATACTAGACCTATAACATACTGATATACCGTACTCTCTATACTAGACCTGTTACATACTGATATACTTTCAATACTAGACCTCTTACATGCTGATATACCGTACTCTGGATACTAGACCTCTTACATGCTAACCTGCTCTTGTTTTTTAACCTCTCACAGATGTATTTTGGATAGTAGATATTTTACATAACGACTTAAATTAGATACTTGACCTCTAACATACTCACTGGATACTGTATCTCTTACATGTGTATATTCTGATATCACTGGATACTGTATCTATTTCATGTGTATATTCTGATATCACTGGATACTGTATCTCTTACATGTGTATATTCTGATACCACTGTATACTGTATCTCTTACATGTGTATATTCTGATACCACTGGATACTGGCTGTTTATAACAAAAATCACGTCCAAGTTGTACATACTGGAGTGGATTAGGAAAACTTGTACTGAGTATACATTGTGATCTGTATAAGCATTTCCTTTACAAAAGGTAGGTTCTCTCTGTGTTAATGAAAATGGGAAAATTGACAAACTGGTGTATGTAAAATGTATACTATCCTGGGTAGGAAGGCTGGTTTGACTATTCAAGTGTGTTAATACGGGCAGCTATATAGTCTCAAGTATTATTCATGGATACATTCTGGACACCATCAGATTTGTCCTGGGGTCTGACTGTTGGCAGGGAAGATGAATACGTTATATGTACATGTATTTCTATTTATGTACATGTATAAGGTCTGGGTACATATAGGCTTAGAACATATATATATGTGTTGTGTACATGTGTATTGTACATGTGCTGTGTACAGATTTTGGTTTACATACATTACTGAAAACAGGAAACAATTTAACGTTATTTGTGTTATGAATGGTCACAAATGGATTGTTGTAATATTGGCGTATCTTTTGTTCTTTCAAACAATACATCTGCCGTTGCATGTGTATATATATATTATACATTGTACATGTGTTGTGTACATATATATATATATTACACATTGAACATGTGTTGTGTACATATATAAATATTATACATTGAACATGTGTTGTCTACATATATATATATTATACATTGAACAAGTGTTGTCTACATAACTATATATTACACATTGAACATGTGTTGTGTACATATATATATATATATTATACATTGAACATGTGTTGTGTACATGCGACGATATGTCTAAGAATAAGATAAATTTTACATGTGTTGTCTACATATATATATAATATATATAGAGGTTCCCCAGAGAGTGATGATTGGCTATCATACTTCTCAAACTCAACTTAGTTCAAATTGTGGAAAGACACAATGTTTTCAGAGTGTCTTTTACAATTTGAAAGTTAATAACTGGAATTGGATGATTACCAGCAATCTCAGGTATGGGACCTTTTTCTCCCACAATGATTACGTTAATATATTTCTGGGTTCGTTGACACATTGTACATATTTCTGGGGTCATTGACACATTGCACACATTTCTGGGTTCATTGACACATTGTATATATTTCTGGGTTCATTGACACATTGTACACATTTCTGGGTTCATTGACACATTGTACATATTTCTTGGTTCATTGACACATTGTACATATTTTGTGTAGACATGTCTAGGTACTATGGAGACTTGCATACCGTGTACATGTACATAATTGTACAAGTACATGAAAAAAAAGCCATAAGCATGACACTTATATTGTAACAAGTTTCAGTGGCTGCTTCTGTTACTGTCATATATAGCTGTATGAACACACTAAGTGTCACAATGTCACATAATCATTGTTCTTATGTCTCACAACAAAAGCGTTTATCATATATTTATAATCATAAAAAAATGATAGGTTAATTAGATAGTTCATATTGTACAGTTTGTAATTGCATCGAAAAGATTTTCTGATACAATTTTGTACATATTTACAATTACTGCTATAAATAATTGTTTGAGTGTAAAAGGAATCATGCATGTATCATGATGACTCTGTGCATCGGCATAGGGAAGATGTTAGTCCCTATAAATGGTATTGGAATGATCCTAATCAATGAACAGCCTGTTCCATGTTTGAAAGTAGGCAAAGTAAGTGGTATGTTGGTCATTTATTGATAGTGTAAAGCTGCTCGCCTTTCTATCTCTCATCCATTAGTAATGGGTAATGTTCACTGGTGTAGCCAGCTAATAAAATTCTACCACTGCTTCTTGCTGAAACAAATGTACAGCATCTCAGGGGGATGGCATAAGCTCCATTTAAAATTAATGGCTACAAAATACACATGTAGGGGAGATAGTGTACCTGTTGTACGGTTATGGAGGTGCCAAGGCTGATGGGATAGGAATTGGAGCGCGAGTTCCACTCACCAACCCAACCCGACAGGCAAGAGGAACATTACGGCCAGTACACGTACGCCCAGTAATTGGTGGAGATTGTACACCGGAGAATTGATACTTTAATTGGTAGCCAACCTATAACAGACCAAGATGTTTGGGGCGAGATAATATTAGGTTATGTATACATATAAAGGTACATGTAATGCCAAGATCCAATATCTGCAAATGGGCTTGGATGTTATACTGTAACATATTTATGTTATGAGGCAATAAGCAGACCACAGAGAGTTGACATACTGGTATATAGATATACAAACTGAATTATGGATCTTACAAAGGAACAGCGCAGAGACAGGTTTGGTTTGGTTTGAAATGGACCCTGATACAACATGAAATGGACCTTGATACAACATGAAATGACCTTGATACAACATGAAATGACCTTGATACAACATGAAATGACCTTGATACAACATGAAATGGACCTTGATACAACATGAAATGATCTTGATACAACATGAAATGACCTTGATACAACATGAAATGACCTTGATACAACATGAAATGACCTTGATACAACATGAAATGACCTTGATACAACATGAAATGGACCTTGATACAACATGAAATGACCTTGATACAACATGAAATGACCTTGATACAACATAAAATGGACCTTGATACAACATGAAATGACCTTGATACAACATGAAATGACCTTGATACAACATGAAATGGACCTTGATACAACATGAAATGGATCTTGATACAACATGAAATGGATCTTGATACAACATGAAATGGACCTTGATACAACATGAAATGACCTTGATACAACATGAAATGGACCTTGATACAACACGAAAATGACCTTGATACAACATGAAATGACATTGATACATGAAATGGCCTTGATACACCATGAAATGACCTTGATACAACATGAAATGGACCTTGATACAACATGAAATGACCTTGATACAATATGAAATGACCTTGATACATCATGAAATGGACCTTGATACAACATGAAATGGACCTTGATACAACATGAAATGGACCTTGATACAACACGAAATGGACCTTGATACATCATGAAATGGACCTTGATGCATCATGAAATGGACCTTGATACAACATGAAATGGACCTTGATACAACATGAAATGACCTTGATAAAACATGAAATGGATCTTGATACAACATGAAATGACCTTGATACAACATGAAATGACCTTGATACATGTAAAACTAACTACCAATACTTATGTTACATTGTAGTCAATATGGATCCAGGAAAATCCATTGAAAACCATTTAATTTGCAGGACCATGGACATTTTGTTTGATTTATACTTTTTTTCTGTGGGGGGTGGATGTAGCTGTGGCAACACACATTAACATAATTAGAATTTAAGTGTAAGACATATGTCCAGATCATTTCATGACCTCAAACTTTAGTCATGCAGACTTTGTGTCAAGGTCTTTCATAACCTTGCATAACCTCATCATTATGTTAGAACTACTTCAGTTTAATTATATATGGGTGGTGTGGTGTGAATAAATCAGCCTGGTGATTTTGTATCAATCCTATGTGTTGTTACTTTTATAATTATTATAAGTACCCACGGTATGCTAAATTATAATCGTTCATTAACTCAGGAAGGAGGTAACACGATGCTATACCCAACTTGGAATGCTTCTCAGATTGGTACACTGCCAGAAATGGTTCAAATGATACTTTAAAATCAAACTTGCATATATTCCTTCAACAGAATAATATTGATATTGTCAGTATTTCTACTTAATAGTTTTTTTATTCTGTGAATTTTTAATTAGTGCACAATTAAATCGAAGTAAGCATGTCGGAAAACCAGAAAAACAACATTCGCTGACAATATTTGGAAATTATATGCATGTTTTAATGTTCTTTTCTGATCCTTATAACAAGATAATGACCTTGTTTATTTATAACAGTTGTAGATCAGTATC